TCTCTCTCTCTCTCTCTCTCTCTCTGAGATAGAGTTTCTCTGTGTAGCCCTGGCTGTCCTGGAACTCACTTTGTAGACCAGGCTGGCCTCAAGCTCAGAGATCTGCCTGTGTCTGCCTCCCGAGTGCTGTGATTAAAGGCATGCACCACCACTGCCAGGTTTAAAACCTCACGAAGTAGGCTAGGCCGACCAGCCAGTGAGCTCCAGGGATCCGCCCTCTCCATGCCTGGATTATAAACATGTCTGGCTTTTAAAAAAATGTCGGTTCTGGGGATTGAACTCAGGTCATCGTGCTTACAAAAGTGTAGTGGTTTAAATGAGAATGGGCCCCAATAGGTTCATATATTTGAATACCTGGTCCTCAGTTGGGGGAACTGTTTGGGGAGGATTAGGAGGTGTGGCCTTGTTAGACAAAATATGCCACTGGGGACGGGCTTTGAGGTTTCAAAAGCCCATGGCATGCCTTGTCTCTCTCTCTGACTGCTGCTTGTGGGTAAGATGTGAGCTCTCAGCTACTGGTCCAGTGAGTGCCATGTCTGCCTGCCTGCTGCCAGGCTCCTTCCCTGATGGTCATGGACTCATCCTCTGGAACCGTGAGCCCCAAATTAAATGCTTCCTTTTATAAGTTGCCTTGGTCGTAGTGTCTCCTCATGGCAAAGAACAGTGAAGGCAAGCAATTTATTGACTGAGTTATCGTCCTCAAACCTTAAAGCATTTCCGTTGTTGTTTGGTTTGAGACAGGGTCTCACTCTGTAGCCCTGGCTGGCCTGGAACTCACAGAGATCTGCCTGCCTCTGCCTGGAGAACTGTGTATTAACCATACCAGGCTCCAAACATTTTTTCACTGGTCTTTCCCCCCACAATATTAGCTCACAAGGTTTCCTTGTAGGCTTTATCATACATACTTCTTGCTCATCCTCCTGTTCACCCCCCACCTCTGCCAACCCCTCCCACTTGGCTCCTTTCCGCTTTACTGTGACATGTCTTACCCTCCTTCCTTCCTCTCCCATCTCCCTGAGTGATCCCTTGGAAGCTCCGCGTCAGCCCCTCAGAAAGCCCGCTATGCGGCGGCTCCTCCATGCTGCTCAAGACCACGCCTACAGAGTGTTGAAGCTCCACAGACCGGCCATGGCATTTCTCTTCCTTCCTTCCTCCGAGATCACCCAGGAATGCTTTGCTCAGATTCAACCTGGTCTTATTAATTTGGTTTGGTTTGGCTTATTGCATCAGTGGAGAAATCCATTACTGGGGATTCAAAATATGTATCACTTAAGACCTCAAGAGTCCATTTTCTAGTTTCATGATCTGCTTCTCTGTCTCTCTCACACACACACAAATTAAAATCTAGGATCCACATAAGAGAAAACATGCCCTATTTGTCTTTTTGAGCCTGGTTTATTTCACTTTATATAATAATTTCCAGTTTCATCCATTTCCCTGCAAATGTCATGATTCCAAATTATTTCATAGCAGAATAAATTCCACGGTTTGTATGGGCCACATCTTCTTTATCTATCCTTCGGCTGATGGACACCCAGGCAGGTCTCACTCTTAGACATCTTGAGTTTCTGAGGCAGGAAGGCAGGAGTGTCTTAGCTGCCTGCCATACTTCAGGGACCCCCCCCCCCAAATCAAATAAAGGCCCGGAGCAGCTGCCAGCTGAAAGTGTCCTTCAAGGAGGGGCTTCTCACTCACCTAGTTCCTGGTTAGCTCCTGGCCAAAGACCTCAGTTCTCATTTCTGGAGTAAGGGCTGCCTGAGTTTCCTTGTGCCATGGTAACAGGCTTTCCTCGAGAGTAACTGTTGGTGCCAGCAGAGAAGAAGCTGTGTCTTTTTTATTTCTTTTCTTTTTTTTTAAATTGTATGTGTGTGTTTGTCTGGGTACATACATGTATGTACATGTGCGTGCAGTACCCATGGAAGCCAGGAGAGGGCATCAGCTGGAGCCTGAGGAACTGGAGTTAGAGGCAGGTGCTCTTGTTTTTTCTTTTTTCTTCTTTCTTTCTTTTCTTTCTTTCTTTCTTTCTTTCTTTCTTTCTTTCTTTCTTTCTTTCTTTCTTTCTTTCTTTCTTTCTTTCTTT